CTTTGCTTTGTGAATTTGGAGTTTAAGTCTGAATCACATTGGAACAAAATGTAGCTGAGACTCAGGAGCTCAGAGCTAGTGAGACAAAGGACGTTCACACTGAATTAATCGCATTCTTGTATTCTCTCAGTTCAGTCTGGGACACAAATAAGCTGATTCTCAGGAGATGAGAATGTTTAGTTTTAATTTTACCAGCAGATGACTCAGGCTCCACAGTTGAATGGTTGGTCCTTAGGGCTCCTAAATGTCAGCACAAATGGTGGAATTCTGGGGCTACCTCCCCTTCATGCCACCTCGGACACTTCTCCTGTGTGACTCACTGTCCATTTATTATTTCATTACATTATACTATATATATGTACATATATATGAACACCTACAATGCACACACGCAAGCCCATATGCACACAACATATTCAAATATATACTTCAACTAGTGTTGCCAATGTTTTATAAAAACAGTATTTACATTATTTTTGAAGTGAATCTAGCAGAGAAGACCAGTAACAAACATGAAAAACATACCAGATGATCAAGCATATGGATGAATATGGGTAGGGTAAAAATATATGCAGATAAATGTACATAGGTATTTGCATGTAGTGTATGTAATCATTCATACATATAAATTTATAAAATTATAGCTATTTATCTATCTATATGTGTATACCTGCATGTATATTTGCATTTCAAGTGTTAAAAATTGGCATGCAATTTGGAAATAAAGAAGAAATATTTTTTTTACTTGTGGCTAACACAAAATTTATCATTAAAGAAGAAGAGGTGAACTTAATAAAGTTGGAGGAAGAAATTTGTACTAAGTTAACGTGAAGAAAACTCAATATATCCACATAAAGAGCTATGTTATAAATAGTTTGGTATTACATTTTAAAGTAGTCATAGTAATGCATACCTGTAGTCCCAGCTACTCAGGTGGCTGAGGCGGGAGTATGCTTTGAGCCCAGGCTTTTGAATCCAGCAAGGGCAACATACATTCATTAACAACCCTTAAATGTAAACAACGTTGATAAAAAGAATGGATATTAATAAGACATTACTTTCTATAATAAATGTATAAATTCAATCTATCCAAATGAAAATGGGAGTACAACTACTTATTTTTAAATAATAAATGTAAATATTCTTTAATGAGCAACACGAGATAATGTCATATAGAGAATGCAGAGTACAAATGGATTGTAAACAAGACCTGCTGTGGATAATATTCTAACTTGACCCATGAAGCAGGGGCATGAGCTATCCTCAATCTTGGAAGGGCCCTGAGTATAGAGGTCACCCGGTGAGCATAGGAGGGCGGCTTCTCTGTGAAGGAGCATGTCTGACGTGGACTCCACCCTCAGCACAGTGAGATCCCACCGAGGTTGGAGCAGACACTTGCCCTGTCCTGAGAGGGCTCCGGGACCCCCTCATGTGTGGGTGAGGGACTCTATTTTCAGGGTCTCTTGGAAATAAGGAAGAAGGGCTGCCAAGAGAATGTCCATCTGTCTTCACTCCACCTCGCCTAGACTCTTTCTCCTCCTTCAGCCCCAGTATCTCCCATGAATCCACATCAGAGCTGGACACCAAATACTGCTGACCTGGCCCATTCTCCTCCGTCTACTCATCACACTTCTTCCAAGGTAAGATAGGGGACTCTGTCTACTCCTTCAGACTAATCATATGATCCGCACGTACCACCGATGTCTCCTCCCAGCCCTCTATGCTCTCTGCTCTGCACTGAAACCAGGGGTTGGAGGTCCCCAAATATGTCCACCCTCTCGTGGTCTGGACCCTCCCCTACAGACCCACCCGCTTAAATTGCCTCATCATCTACTGTTCCAGAGCTCTCCAAGGGTCAGGAACCTGAGCTGACCCTTTGAGTTCAGAGAACACAGGGCAGGGGGACTCACCTGAGACCACCAGCTCCAGGAGGTTACTGGGGTGTGACAACAGGTAGGTGGAGGTACTGAGTGAGCTGTAGCACCTGTATGTGCCCCCATGGGCTGAGGTCACAGGACTCATGGTGAACTCGCCCTGGTACTGCTGAGCTTGGATCTTTAAACTTTGACACCGGGGGGGACTGGCTGACCCCTCCTTGGACAGAAAGAAAGTGTCCAGTGGGTACCGTGACTGACACAGCAGGGTCACATTCTCTCCTGAGGTCACCGTGGGGCCCGGCTCCACCAAGAGGAAGGGTCTGTCAGAGAGCCATCCTAGAGAGAAGAGGAGGTTGAGGGGCTGCCCCACGTGGTTCTGAGCCAAGATCTCCCAAGACCCTCTCTCTGGGGAACCTCAATCTCTCGGTCTCCTGCTGTCTCTGAGTCTCTCCCCTCCCTCAGCCCCTCTCTCTGTCTCCCCCTCCCTGGAATTCCTCACCCTTCACCCCAACCATCACCACGTGGGGCTCCCCAAGCAGGACTTTTGCAGAGTCTGGAGCCCTGACTCAAGTCGTTGGTCTCCTCACCTGAGATCAGGATGTCCAGGGGGTCGCTGGGGGCCGACCACTGGGAGGAGAGGTTGTGTCCACCATAGCATCTGTACTGACCCCCATGGGAGTCACTCACAGGGCCCAGGGGGAAGTCAGCCTGAGAGATCCCAGCCTGGGTCTGCCTGCCAGCGTGCTGGGTGAGGTTTTGTTGCCCCTCCGTGGACAGGGCAAACTTGTCGTAGGCGACATCAGAGCGACACTGGAGGGTCAGGCTCTCACCAAGGGCCATGACAGGGCCCTGCTGGGCCAGGAGGGAGGGCTTCCTAGACACTCCTGGAGGGAAAGAGGAACTGGGGTGGCAGGGCAGGTTCTGCCCACATGCTCCCTTCTCTGTCCTGGCCCTACAGGTCTCACTGTCACTCACACTCTGTGTCTCTGACCCCAAGCTTCTGCTTGTCACCTGGATTGTCTAAGAATATTTCTGACACATACCACCCCCGCCATCTCCTGGCCTCTGTCTGCCTGATCTGACCTCATCTCACAGTAGCCAGGATGTAGCAGCCACTAGACCCTGGGCCTTCCTGAGTCGGCCCCTTCCAGGTGAGGGTGACCCAGGGCTCCTCCTTCCCTCTAGAGCCTCCCATGGGTCTCCTTCACTCCTCAGTTCGTCCATCAACACAGCATTGTAGGGCCTCACCATGGTCAGCTGTCAATCAAACTCCTAACAACCCGTCTGGTCCCTAAAATGGTGTAAGAGAAAGTCGTCACTTCCTCACCTGGGATCAGGATGTCCAGAGGATCACTTGGTTCCGACCACACCTGGGGATCATTCCTAAAATAGCCATAACATCTGAACGTCCACCTGTGGCCGGGGTTCACGGGACCCACAGAGAACCGGGCATCGAAATGCCCATCATGTTGTTGCTGTGAGTCCAGGGACCAGGAGTGCTTGTGTTCACCTTCCTGAACCAGAATGAACTTTTCAAATCCCCTCCAAGAGCCACACTGGAGGGTCGCCTTCCCTCCTGATGTCACGACAGGGCTGGGTAGGGCTAGGAGGGTGGGTTTTCCGAGGACTCCTAGGGGAGAAGAAGTCACTGTGTTAAACGGGGATCACACCTTCCATATAATCCCCCCAGGGCTGAACTGTGGGGTGGGAGACACCCCTGAGAGGAGAATCTGGGGTGGGACCCCTGAGTGTCCTCTCACCTGTCACCACCAGCTCCAGAGGGTCACTGTAGTGTGATGCATGAATGCCACTGTAATAGTAACAGCAATATTTTCCTGTGTGATGCCTTGTCATGGAAGGGATGTAGAACTTACTCTTGTTCCCAGGTTTCTGTGTCATCTGCATGTACTGGAACTCAGAGCTTCTCTCTTTCTTCAGATAGTACTCCTGGGCCTCCGGGGTCCCCTGACACCACATGGTCACGGGGCTCCCCAGGGTGATCACATGGCCTGGCTCAGCCCAGAGGGTAGGTTTGGGAGGGGCCCCTGGAAGAAAGTCAGAGCCTGGGATCCACAACATCTTTGGCCCTCAGATCCCTGCTCTCAGCCCAGGACTCTACAGATATCCCCACTGGGCAACCCAGAATTGCTGTTCTCCATCCCCAGCTGCTCATGGGGTTATCCCTGGTCCCAGTGAGGAGAAGGGACCTGGGAAGCTGGAAACAGACTCACCTGACTGTGCTCGGGTCATGGGTCCCAGACTTAGCCCTGGAAAAGAGTTCCCTTGAGATTTGTCCTCTACTCTGAGCAAGTCCTCTTCTCCCTGGTGGCCTCCTGAGCCCCTGTGGTCTCCTCATGGACCAGGGCCTGGCAGTGGGGTGGGATCCCTCCCAGACCAGGGTCTCCCCTCCCCCTCTTCAAATCTCACTGAGGCAGAGCAGGGCTGGGAGTGTCAGGATCATGGTGTCTCCTCCCACTGGTCCCGGCTGTGCTGATGGAGGAGACCGCTGTGCCTGAAAAACAGACAGACACACAGGGTGTGGCCACGCAGAGGCTGGGTCCTCCTTGTCATGGGATTGTCACATCCTTAGGCCCACAGGAAGGGGAACTGGCCTTTCTAGAAGATTGACTTTTGTTTCCCCAGGGCAGGGGCTGGGACTGACTCCAGGCTCTCTGCAGACATTTAACCCAGAAATGGGGTCTCTTCTGACCCCTGGGCACTGTCTCTCTGATCTATCCTCATGTCACCAAGGGCCAGGATATAGCAGCAAATAGACCCAGTGCCTTCCTGTGTCAGTCCCTTCCAAGTGAGGGCGACCGAGGGCTCTTCCTTCCCTCTAGAGCCTCCCATGGGATCCCCTTCACCCTCAGCCCGTTCACTACCACATCCTTGTGGAGGTCCTCACCATGGCCAATTAACTACACAGCCCTGGTGATGCTTCAGAGAAGACGCAGGTTCACACTGCCCAGCAGTGACTCAGTTCAGAAGAGAGTTGCTCATCACCTGAGGGTGCAGGTCACTCTGAGCTGCACGTGGCAAAGTGTACAAGGAGACATGCAGAAAATACAAAGAAAAAAACATACTTTTTAGTCCCTAGAGTGTCTTTTCTTTCACCAAAATACTGCCTTTCTAGTACTTTCCCCTTTTTGTCTTTTTTATCCAGCAGTGCCCATCCCCACCCCCCTGAGAACAACGCCTCTGAGTCATTCCTGCTTCCTCAGTCCCCTGGTGTCCTTGTCCATCCAGGCTGCACTTCAATCCATA